CTCCCCTCTCTTTTCCATACTTAGCATGCAAGCCGACAGACTTTTTATCCATTAGCCAAGGCAACGGCTGGAGATGGCCATTCCGCCTGCAGCGGGACTGCGGTTTTCTGTTTCTGCGTTCAATGGCAGCCCTGAAAGGCTCCCAGGCTGGGGCTAGAAGCTCAATGCTCCACAGGCCCTTGGCCGGTTGATGAGTTCCAGGAGTTAATAAACAAGGAACTCAATATCCTCTGTCTTTTGGAAAGTCAGAGGTATTTAAACAGATTCAGCATGAGGAACTAAGGAAATGAGGGCTTAGGCATGCAAAGAAGCTCTGAGGAGGAGATGTGCTGATTCTTGCATGCTGCTGGGCCAGCTGAGTGAGCTGGGAAGGCCTCCGGCAGGCTTTGCCCAGAAAAACAAAGTGAAGCTCTGACCTGGGACCAGGGCAGACACACGCACATCTGCAGCCTGGAGGACTGGAGAGAACAAGGTGTGGAAAGTCAGTAGCCCTGACTCCAGGACTCTTATATGCTTGAAAAGGTCACTTAACTTCTGCAACCCCAGTGTCCTTCCCGTAAAATCACGTTACCAACACCCTATCTACTTTTTAGAGGACTGAATGAGGACATGTCAGAAAGAAATTTCTGAGATGTACTAATGTACAGTTGTCAAAATCAGTAATATCATACATCAGTAAAATCAGTCATCAATGACAATGACAAAAAATCTAATCAGGAACGTACAGTCTCTTCACTTACCTACACCTTTGTCAATATACCAGTAGGGCCTGCTATTCCTTTTCTAGGACAGTCTGGGGCCAGACAACTGCCCAGTGTATCTCCAGGGAAATCTGGAGTAGCTCTAAATGGGCCTCATTTCTCTCCAGTTGTCTCTGTTCTATAAAGCAGGCTCCTCTAGCTTGGCTGCAGCTTGGCTTATAGGAATAACCTGGAGAGCTCTAAAAGATTTCCAACGCCCAGGAGTCATCGTTGGAGATTCTGAATGAATGCGTCATTTTTTGGCGCTTGGGCATCAGTATTTTTTTATTTTAATTTTTGCATTTACAAAATTTTAGTAAAATATGTAACATAAAACTTACCATTTTAACCATTTTAAGTGTACAATTTAGTGCCATTAAGTACCTTCACAATGTTGTGTGACGATTACCACCATCCTTCTTCAGAACCTTTTCATCTTCCCAAATGGAAACTCTTACCCATTAAACACTAATTCCACATTTCCACTCCTTGCCACTCCTGGTAACCACCATCTACCTTCTGGCTCTATAAACTTGACAGTTACCGCCTATGAGTGGGCTCATGCAATATTTGTCCTAGGGTCAGTATTTTTAAAGATCTCCAGGTGATTCTCTGTGCTCTCAGAACTAAGGGCTGATGCCAACCATAAGTCGTGTATCGGTTCATCTTTGGAAAGAGAAGAGTTTAGGGATGAAGTTGGAGCTGATAGTGGGAAAACCGCATGGACAGAAATCAAGTAATGCAAAACATTCACATCTTTGCCCAAGTTACTTTTAGGGTAGGTATTGCTTTTGCAGAAAGGCAGCTGGAAGAGAAAAGCTGTATTTGCCAGAAAGTGAGGGGCTTCTAGTCTAATCCTCTAACCTGGTTTGAGTCCTTGCTCTGCCATTGCGTAGCTGTGTACCCTTCAGTGAGTCACTTAATAGTGCTGAACCCCACTTTCTTTGTCTGCAAAATAGAGATAATAATATCTACTTCAAAGACCCAGTGCAGGGCTCCAAAGCAAAGCATGTGAAGGTGTCTGATATATTCCAAAACCCTTTATAGGTGACAGCTGTGGCTGCTATTGTAAATGGATAACAATAGCTTTTATCCTAATTTATTTTTTAAGGGCATTAGCCTTGATAAACTAAAGGTAGAGCATAACTGTGCTAGCTGGATCCAATCCACGTCCATAGAATATTTAATTTAAAGGGGCTTAAAGATTGTTCTAAATTAATTTTTAAAATCTAGTCTTACTTCCTGGGCACAAAAAACCCCTAGAGATTGCAGCCATTTTCAAGAGACAAGCTGGAAGGGTGATTATACAATTTTAAAGCAAAAAGCCATTCTAATTTGATAAGCGCTTTGAAGACACATTAACAGACAGCATCTCCTCAATTTCCTTGCTTTGTGCTTGATGTCAGCACCTGCCCTTTGTGGATTGCACCAGTGTGCACTCACACACACACACACACACACACACACAGAGCTCTGGTGCTCTTGATGAACTCTGGATTTGTTTGGGGCTGTGTGTGTCTTATTCAAAGAAGATGGAGCCAAGGTTGCCTGATGTCTTCTAATAGCTAATAGATAGTGTTTAGAGCAGAGCAGGAGAGCCAGTGAGAGGTGGGGAGGAGGCAGGGAGGGAGAGAGGGAGGGCTTGGCTAGCTTTGTCTTGCTAATGTACTTTGTTTTGTGGCTTGATGGGTCGTTCAGACAGATTCAGACCACCTCACAAGGGGAAGGCATAGAAGAGCAAGACAGCTCAAGTGGAGAGCTTTACTGGGGACAAAAGATGCACCTGCAAAGCACAGGCTTAATCGTCTCTAGAGGCCAGGCCCAATGTTGGGAGATAAATGCCGGCACCACCTGAATAAGGTCCTGGCAGTGTGCGTTTGCCTGGATACTACAGTTAATTCATTTCAGAAGAGGGGTTGCTACCCAGCAAGAGGGAGCTGCTCCCACAATAAGCCTGAATGAGCCAGCAGTGTTACAAATGTACTCCCTAAACACAAAAGGGCCAAGGGAAGGAAATGCGTATGGCAGGTAGAGGACAGGGCTGAACAATAAGACCTGCGGAGGAGGAGGAGGAGGAGGAAGGAGGTGGTTAGCAACACATTTCAATTTGGATAAACCAGTTTCTAAACTAAACCCTATATCTGAAGCCCAGTATCAGAAAAGCTTTCATTAGCTCTGCTTCAGAGCCTCACTGGCTAATTCTGATGTTGGTAGCAGGTTGTAGCCTGAAGTGTTGGAGAAACTTACAAAAATTCGAATTCAGCAGTTCAGAGGTTAGGGCTCCTCCCAACCCTCCCTCCCTCCTTCCCTTCCTTCCTTCCTTCCTTATAGCCTTGCTTCCCTCCCTCCCTATCTTCCTTCCCTTCCCTTCCTTCTCTCTTTCTCTCCCTGCAGTCATTTTCCCCTTCTTTTTTCCTCCCTTCCATTTGTGGATCCCTATCCACAAATGAAATACAACTCAATATGTGAAAGAAATCAAAGGACAGTGGCTCTTGAGCCCTCGCAATGTGGCTCCTGTCATCTCCTTAGAAGCTCCAGAGTCAGGGCTGGCCTCTTGCTGACCAAGTTCCTCCCTTCATTTGACAGGAAACTGAGGTTCAGGGTCTGAAGTGATTTTCTCACGGGAAGCCAAAGGTGCCCTGACCTTCAATCTAATGCGTTTGCCACTAAAATATATTTTCTGTCTTACAGACATTTGCAACAGCATATTAAAATAGGTCATCCAGTGGAATCTGACTCACAATGCAGAATGAATCCATAGAAATTCAGTTTTCATGACAAAACTCAAGAAATCTGATTTGGAAAGGAAAAACAGTGGCAGAAACAGGACTGGCTCAGGGTGGGATAGGAGAGAAGGAAGCAAATGAAAAAACATAAATATTTAAAAGTGGATTCATTCTGTGGTATAACTCTTCCACTAAACCTTCTGGTCATTATTCAATTATAAATTGTTAACAGGAAACACAAATTTCTATGTGATCAAGTTGTAACCTTGGGCAAGACACCCAGCGAGTGTCTTTGGGTCTCTGTTTCCTTCCCACCCCATGCGGATGTTGAGCCAAATGGTCTTTCCTTAGAAGAGCCTTTGTTTCTCTGAAAGGTTATGCTATGCTGCGCTATACGTAACTCATCCTGAGAGCTTGTGCCTTTCTTCTATATTATGGGGAAGGTGAGTTAGAGAAAAACTGGGGACAGAGAGCGAGCCAAGGAGGACAGAGTGCCTGCCACACTCTTATTATTTATTCTTCCAGCTCCTATTCAAAAGTCCCCTCCTCTGTGGAATTTTTGCCATGCCATGCAAGTATTGTTTCCAGTCTCTCTCTGGTTCCTAATAATTATGCATTCACATTTTTTCTCCTTTAAACCAGGTACCATGAATTATGCCTGAAATCTAACACAGTATCGGAACCACTCCTCATGACGTTTCATAAAGACACTGAGCAATGCTATTGTGACATTTACTAAAATCTTCGTTGGCAAAGAGCATTTGCTGAGGCAGTTTTCTTTCTCAACAAAACCAAACCAAACCAGACCAAACCCTTAAGCCACCATTTAAAAAATGTATTGACATTGCTAAAATTTTTTTTGAGACAGAGTCTCACTCTATCGCCCAGGCTGGAATGCAGTGGCGTGATCTCGGCTCATTGCAGCCTCTGCCTCCTGAGTTCAAGCGATTCTCATGTCTCAGCCTACCAAGTAGCTGGGATTACAGGTACCTGCCACCATGCCTGGCTAATTTTTGTATTTTTAGCTGAGATGGGGGTTTTGCCATGTTGGCCAGGCTGGTCTTCGAACTCCTGACCCCAAGTGATCCGCCCACTTCAGCCTCCCAAAGTGCAGGGATTACAGGTGTGAGCCACTATGACCGGCTGCTAAAATTTCTTCGGAAAAAAACCTTTAAGGGTAGACATGCTGGAATCCTTGAAATCCTCATTTCATTATTTTCATCAGAGAAAACTCCCAACTTTCAACTTTGAAAGTAAGCAGCATTCATTTTTTCCTAAATGTAACATGTTTTCCTGCATGGAATGACAACTTCAAGTTGTATCTTTGTGATATTATTACAAGATACTGTAAGACCTTCTTTACTGTATTTTTGCAACTGGTAGCACAAGTGGCAAAAGTCTTTGGCTTCTCGTCTTTGTATGCTAGGAAAAGTTGAGTGGAACAAGCTGGTTTTTTGCGTCAACCTTAACTGCATGGGACTGTGTCATGTCTGGTTCAGAAGAAAATTTTAAGTGCACAAAAGAACAAACTTACCTTCTTTGACGCTCAGTCGTGAGGATTGGTCTGTGTGGGAGGTTGTATTATAGGCCAGCAGTGAACCTGAGAGGCAAAACATAAACAGGTTATCACCAAAATGTTCTTCTGAGATCAAGAGTAGGAGATGACATGAGGAGGGAGTGGAAAGGGAAAGAGATGGGGAGAGGGGAAGAGGGACAGAGGACTCCTAGAAAGAAAGGAAAAGCGAATGGAATCCGTTTGCTCGGAGACAATCATACAGGCCTGTAATAACTTTACGGAGTAAAGAGACAGAATACATTGGAATGAAATGCTCTCTGGGGAAACAGACAGCATGACCCCTGAGCTGCCATATTCATCGTTCTGAAACGTTCTGGTCTGTGCCATCTCATGATAGGAACACAGCACTGAGAATCAGTAAACCCAGGTCTGTTCCAGTTGTTATTAATTCACCACGTGACAGTTGGTGAGTGACTTGACATGTCTAGATTTTGATTTTTTTTCTTGAACTAGAGCAGAGGTTGGCAAACTTCTTCTATCAAAAGGAGAGAGTAAATATTTTGACTTTATAGGCTAACTACAGTCTCTGTTGCACAGTCTTCTTAGTTTTTGTTGTTTTGCCCATGGGCCAGATTTGGCCTGCAGCTTATAGTTTGCAGCTAGTATCGCTCCTTCCTGCTATGGTATCCTTTGGGTTTACATACACATGGGTCCTTTCCCAGGTGAGGGTAAGGTGCACGGGTATCTGTTGCTGGTGGAGGGGCGCTGGGAGTTGGGGAGGAGATGAGTGGTAGTATTCCAATAGGAACTTTTGCTTCCCTTCACCTATGTCTAAGAGCACGCACTGAACCTGAAGAGTCATGCGTTGAATTTTCTGTAATCTCAGAATGCTGATATCCAGTCTTTAAAAATTCAACTTCAATGCATACCTCTTCTATACCCAGAACTTTGAAAGAATAATTTGCTGTTGTTGCATGGAAAACATATTCCCCCTTCTTTCCTAAAACTAGATTTGTTCCTCTGTTTAAAGTGAATTCAAGGTTGTAATTTGTGAAATTTAGGCATTTTTGCCATTCTCTTTGAGACTCTCCTAGGGAAATCTTAAAGAGCTCTCGAAACTAGGGCTGGGATCTGCTTTTACAAAACATACCGTAAGTTCAACACATGTGTTCGAGGCTAAGAAAATTCTTCTAAACAACGCTTTTCCCTGCTCCCTGTGGCCGAGTGGACTGGCTTGGGTGCCAGGGGTGGGAATGGGCTGTCAGACACTCCTATTTTTAGTCTCCAGTCATGGAAGGGATGCAGAAATGGAGCTGCCACCTCACCCAGCTGTGGGCGTTTGGTTGTGTGCCTCAGAGAAAATGTGTGCACTACCCAAGCCAGGCGATGAAGAAGAGAATTTATTTATTTATTTTTGAAATGGAGTTTCGCTCTTGTTGCCCAGGCTAGAGTGCAATGGCACGATCTCAGCTCACTGCAACCTCCGCCTACTAGGTTCAAGCGATTCTCCTGCCTCAGCTTCCCCAGTAGCTGGGATTACAGGCATGTGCCACCACGCTCGGCTAATTTTGTATTTTTAGTAGAGATGGGGTTTCTCCATGTTGGTCAGGCTGGTCTTGAAATCCTGACCTCAGGTGATCTGCCTGCCTTGGCCTCCCAAAGTGCTGGGATTACAGGTGTGAGCCACCGCGTCCGGCCAAGGAAGAGAATTTTATAAGAATTGTCCAACTGCCTAGAACATGACTGTTAGTTCTAGCTCTGCAGCAGCTCTAGACGGAAACAAGAAGGGGAATGATGGGGGTGTATTGAGCCCTCTGTATGCCAAAGTGTGGCTATGTGGATGCCATGTTAGAAATGAGACAGTCACATGAATGTAACATTCAAGAGCCAGCTACATTTGGTTATTCCATTTTCAAGAATATCAATGACAAAGTAAGGCCGGGACAAGTTCCTGTTAATAGTCACACAGCAAAAAATGATGTTTTGGGCAAAGATGGACCACATATTTGACAGCAGTAATAGTGTATTTTTACTGTATCTTTTAAATGTTTAGATGTACAAATACTTGCCATTGTGCTACAATTGCCTACCATATTCAGTACAATAACATGCTATACAGGTTAGTAAGCTAGGAGCCACAGGCTGTAGCATACAGCCTCAGTGTGTAGTAGGCTATGCCATGTGGGTTTGTGTCAGTACATTTTGTGGTGTTCACATGAAGATGAGCTATCCCCATCATGAAGCAAAGCATGACTGCATGTTTATTAAGCAAATGAGAGTTTAAAATTAGACCTGCGTCTTATCACTGACTAGCTTTGTGCTCTCCATTGATTTCTCTCATCTCTCTGAGCCACCAGTTTCTCATCTGCAAAATGGGTGAATACCACTTAGTGGCATTGTGAAGATTAAATCAAATAATGCATGTAATGTGCTCAGAATGGACCTTGGCTCATAAGTGTTCCATAAATGCTAGCTATGATCATTACTATTTTTACATCCTTTCTCCCACAGATGTCACAATTACATACAATAGTTCTCTTTATACATGCGTTTACTGAGCATTAGTCTTGTCCTCCGATTAAAGTTATGAATGGGTTCTGCTGCAATAAGAAATAATCCGGCACGACTGGAAGGAAGTGAAGAAATGGAACCAAACGTTCCGAGGGAATACAAAAAAATCCCAGAAGCAGGACCAAGAATGCTTGCCTCTCTGTCCCTGATGTTCTCTCCCTCAGGCTGAAACCTCACTGCTGGAGCAAATAAAGAAAAATGATGGTCTCTGAGGAGCAAACTGCCGGAGTCATTAGTGCAGATGTAGCCGAAAGCACGAACCTTAGATAAACCACATTTATTACATTTCCCCCTTGGTGAAAGTTCTTCTTTGGGCATACATGAATTCCACAGGAAACTCCCAGAAAGCCAAGAGAAAGGGTCATTTGACCTCTCCAAAGCTTGCATGAAATACATACTTCATGGCAACCTAGGAAGAGGATTTTGCCCTAAAGACTGTTCTCGGTTCAAGTTTCACTCCTAGAAGGAGAGGCTGCCTTCCCCAAGCAGGGGCTGGTTGGGGGCATCTGGCCTCTCACCCAAGGGACCCAGATTCCCTCCTCTTCTCCAATTTCTACTTCATCAGTTCCCCAGGCTCTGTTTTCTTAAGGAACTTGGTCCGACGCAGGCAGGTCCTCCTGGAGCCCAGCCTCCCTCTCTGTGGCTTTGGACTGCTTTCTCCTGCCCTTGAGGCTCTTTCTGGCCTGACACCGCCACAGGCCTGTGCTGCTGAGCTCCCCATCCTTCCTGATACCAGCACCTCAGGGTAAACAAGCCACGGTGAAGTGGGGGATGCAACGCTCCCGGAACATGCACAGTGTGCCAGACGCTTGCCATCTATTCTCTTACTTAATCCTTGCATAAGCCACGCAGACCAGCATTCCCTTATTCCTTTTTACAGATGAGAAGAGCAACAGTCAGCGAAGTCATATCATTTTCCGAGGATCACACAGTCAGAGACTGGAGGAGGCAGGACCCCCATCCTGGTCTGTCCACAAAACCTATCCTCAGTCCGACAGACCCCACCGCCTCCAGACTAAATCGTAGAAACAGGCAAAACTCACCTATGGGCTTGGGAGGCAGGGTGGTGGTTAGTTTTGGGGAGGAAGTGGTCGTGGGGTGGAGAGAGGGTGCAGGGGGCTGAAATTCTACTCCTTGACCTGGGAGGTGCTTATGCGAGTGAGTGGATTCACTTCATGATAACGCCTCAAGTAGCGCACTTAATGATTTCTGCACTTCTGTGTTATAGTTCAGTTCAAACTGAAGTACAAGATTTGCCTACTTGGTTATTTGTAAGTTTCTGTATGTGTGTTTGTATGTATATATTTGCATATGGGTGTGTATGCATATACGTATATCTATTTATTGGGGCATTTTTGCTCTAAAAAGCATAAAGTAGTTCCTGCTGAGAACAGAATGGCCTTCCCAAACTGCAAGCATGCGGAAAAGATCGTTTTCCATTCTATGTTTGAATCCATCTGCTGCTAGAGACAGTACCTGGATCTGAAAGGAGAGGAGAGTGAGCAGTGTGAGGCTTTGCAGGTGTGGGGTAGAACCCCAACAATCATGGTTTCTGCTGCTTCACATTCCCCCAACCTAACCTGCTTTTCATCGGGGACACCTGGGCCAGGGGACACAAGAGTCCCAGTGCTAAAGCCTTTGTCTCCTGCCTCGCTGTGACCATAGAATTCACCAGTGCCCCCTCACAGCCAGCCTATTGAATCCAGGTCTCCCTTTTCTCTGGGCTGCACTGCTATATCCATAGCTCTGGCTGAGGGTGCGGGAGCGGGAGGGTGAAAGGCTCTGGGATCTTTTAACAACAATCCTGGCTGACTACTGAGTCCAGGGAAACCCGACCTTTTGTTCAGCTGGAATTCTGTTCTCCCTCACTGGTCAAACCCTGGCCTGGAAGTGATAAGATTGCACCAGCTTAATTGCCCAGACTCAAAACCTCTGCCCGACCATCTGAGGCTGCAGGTAGACCACAAAACGCAAAATGTGTTTTCCATTAAAGTTTAAATTAAAAATGGGAATCAAGATAGGCACCTTTTCTGTGGTCTCCCCGTCGCGCGGTATATTTCATTCTTTTGAGCAGCCACTGTTTGAAGACGCAGTTTCTTAGTACTTTTTCCAGGTCAGACCCAGATAGACATACAAAACCAACTTGTTTGTAAAATTTTAAAAAGGCTCTTTTTCCTCCTGCCTCCCCTCCTCCCCAGGAGCCTGGGGCTCCCACACATGCGCAAACTCCCCCCAGCGGCCCTGCGCCTGAACTGCCCGCCCTGCGCCCTCCGTTTCTTCGAGGTCCATCCCCGCCTTGGCCTGAGAAGGGACAAATCTCGTTCCCGCAGCTGCTGCTGCGAAGGCTCCTCTGCCACAGGGGGTGTGTCTGGGAGAGATACTGGTGGGGCCGACAGTCAGGCCAAGAGAAGGACAAAGTTAGCGTGGCGATAGGTTTGGCTTAATCGGCCTTCTTCCAGGAGGCCACAGGAAAGTTTTTGGAAAGCATTTATCTCTTGGTACAAATGACAACAGAAAATGCCGTGGGGGAAGTGGCCGGGCTGTCCACGTGGAAGGCCGGGCGGGAGTGAGGCTGCCTTGCCTGTGTGGCGCAGGCTGGCTTGCTGTCTCCAGGGCCGGGGGGACGTCGGCAGCGCAAGGCCAGGGACTGGGACTCCAGACGCCTGAGTGTTAGACACCAGGTGCTCTCAACTGGCTGGACGCCTTTGAACCAACTTCTGAAGCTGTCTGGGCCTCAGTGGTTTCAGCTTTAAAATGGGTATTGTAGGTAGTCGTCCACAAGGGGGCAACCTTTGTTTCTTTGAAGACGGAGCCTCCCTGTGTCGCCCAGGCCAGAATGCAGTGGTGCCATCTCAGCTCACTGCAGCCTCCCCCTCCCAGATACAAGCGATTCTCCTGCCTTAGCTTCCGGAGTAGCTGGGATTACAGGAGCCCACCACCACGCCTGGCTCATTTTTGTATGTTTAGTAGAGACAGGGTTTCACCACGTTGGCCAGGCTGGTCTCAAACTCCTGGCCTCAGGTGATCCACCCGTCTCAGCCTCCCAAAGTGCTGGGGTTGACAGGTGTAAACCCTGGAGTTTCCCAGGACCCATGGGAATGACCACAAGGACCGTGGCCACCCCGTCATCACAGTCCTCCTTGCATTTCCTGTGGCTGGGGGTGGGGGGGTGGAGGGTGGGCAGCGTGTGACACAGCTCCTCTGGCACAGCTGACACACCCAGGTGTGAAGAACAAACACCTCCCTAGCACGCCTGGCCATCAGACAGGGTCTGTAGGGGCTTAGGAAACTGCTCTTTCTTCTCCACCCTGGAAAATATATTTGCATTTAAAATGTAAAAGTCTAGCTCCCCTCCCAGACCACTAGAATAAACAGTCAAGTGAAATTTACATTTTCACCAAAATGTAAATTTGGTGCCAAAGCTTCTTATCCTATGAAGTTTTCCTTTTTCTAGACTTTCTACTAAGCCCCAGAAAGATTAGATCAGAGAAGTGCCACCAACTTGGAGTCTCCTGACTTCCAACCAGCCACAGGCTCAGGTCCCCAGTTCTGCTCTATCAGCTTTCCTTCACCCGGCAGCACTTCCTCCACCGGAGTGAAGGATCTCAGCTATTTTCCTTCCATCTCTTGCTAAGGTGGAAATATCTGAGCCCCACCTTCCTCTCCAACAAAAGGACAAGATGATAAAGCACAAAGAATCAGCACCCTCTCCCCTTGCCTTGACTCATGGCCTCAAACTGTCCACAAGCACTGGCCTTCCTCCTGAGCACAAAACATCCACTGGAAGTCAGTCTGGAAAAACAATAAAGTGTTTGAAGGCTTTAAAAGGGTTTAAAGTGCTGGTTGTCACTGGGGAGTTCCCAGCAATCCAGAGCAGAGACAGAGCAGACGCGATCGCCAGCACATGGCCTCCTGCAGGCGCTTAGCAGCCAGCCACCACCACACACTAGAGGGTCCCCAAGGCTGGAACCCCAAGGTAGACACCAATTAAAAAGCAGCATGAATCTAAAAGCCTTTTCCCTGACAGTGGATCATTTTAAGTCTAGGTTCCTCAAAAGGATATTTCAATACTATGTTGGGGCAAGTTTTTTTTTTTTTTTTTTAAATTTAACACAACTATTTTAATTTTTTGCTTTCGTAGGCAGACATGGCTTTTCTATCAGTGCACAGACCACTTTATAATGAGCTTTTCCACCCAACATCATATCCTAAGCACTTCTCATGGTGTTTCCCGATAATCATTTTAATGGCAGAATAACTACTTCCCACCTTGTGGATGTGCTACTGTTAGCCACCATCTTCAACTCTGGATATCCGCCCTGCATGTTCAAATGTCTTCAGTACACAAGCTGGATTCCACCTCGTCTCCGCTCTGGAAATATGCTCCACTAATAAGTCCCTTTTGGGAAACCTAACATTTTTATTGATTGGGGGGCATTTTCTGTCTATAAATATTCTTAAAAAGAAAGAAGCGATTCACTTTTTCTTGCCATGCTATACCCCCCAAAATGCCATCCTCTGCACCTCCACTTCAACCTTGTTATCTGCTCTTCTCCAATAGAAGGTCTCTCTACCAGGGACCACCTTCTCGGGCATTTGTCTCACTCCAGCATCTGTGCTTCCATGGTTTGGTGGCAGGAAGTACTAGGGGGATTTGGGCTGTTTATGGACTGGTTAGGGCCCCGGGGTCATATGGCATGAATCGGCTTTCTCCACATGGAGAGAATGCCTTGAACATTCTACCAACAAGGGCATCTGCCAAGGAGTCTCAAAGCACTAGACCATTTAACTAACAGTTCAGAGCATGCCATCTATGCTACTGTTGTCCTCTCTACTCCTGCAAATGAAAGAAAGGGCTCAGGGTTCCTGCAAACTCCTGCTGGAATCAGGTTGCTTTGCTGGTCTCTCCTTCTCTTGCTAACCTCCATGCACCCACCCTGGCCTGCCTAGATCACTGCAGGACTCTGTTCAAAGATCCTTATTTTAAAAAATTCCACAAACAGTTAAAAGCTGAAAATATGAATTAGAAAATGCTAATTATCCAAAGCTCTGAAAAACTGGGTGGAAAATTGTCCCCGTGTTTGAAATTGTTTCTTGGGCTGACCTCATGTTACAGCAAGACTCAGACATGAGGTAATTGCTCCGGGGCTAACATACACTGCATCATCTACTTTCCGCACTGGTTACCAGACGCTTCGGAAAGGTGACCAGAGAGCACAGAGGCACCAGTGGAAACTTCCAAAGGCATTTTTTTGATTTTTCATTTCTCCAGCCAGCACGTGTTGCCCCTGCCCCATGAGGAACACTGCGGCTGAAGGGGACAGTAGATTCCAAAGAAGGGGAGTTAAAGGTCCACCGAATGATGGAGAGCAAACAGAGCTCACCAACCCAGAGCCAGCCAGTCCAGGAAAAGCAGGTCCCAGAGGTGCTGTCTAAGGATCTCAACTTGTGAAGGGGGCTTAAAATCATCAATCACCTGCCCAAAGCTAACCTCCTGCAAGACTCCCAGCTACCTTGGCCATTCACAACAAATAGCATCTCAAGGCTGCCCTGTCTGTCTTTGCACAGGGCTGTTAGAACGCTCTTACATAGTGCGAGCCCATACCTGTGTTCCTGTGATCCTAGCACCATCTTTTCAGGCCCCAGGACAATCCTTCCATACTTAGGGGTAGCACTGGTACACCACCTGGCCTGGATTTCCAGCAAAGTGTTCAGGCTGAGGTTACCAGTGGAACTAAAATAATTCCATTCTTCTGCTCTGTGTATATTTCACATCAAATGAAATTCATATCAGACTGATGGGCACTTGGTGCTAGAGTGCCTCTTATTAGATAAATCTCTTGGACAACTGCCCACTTGCTTTCTTAAGCTCACCCTTTCCAAAGCTCTTTTCCTTCTCTTAGCTGTACCAGAAGAAAGTCTCCAGATCCTAACACACCTGCAGCTGTGACTGCTCTTCCTTATCAAGGAAGTGTGCAGATACCAGCCCTGTCAAATGGGGTTAGGGGGTGCCAGAGTATCCCAAGATTAAGAGGAAGCTAATATGTAAATTGTTTTCAAAACCTTAAATCCAAAAGCCTTGAATGTAGAGTTTCCTGGAGGAATTTTAAATAATCACTTAGGAAAACACCAGCCAGGGCACAACCCATCTCTATCTATTTTCAAATTGGGATAGTTTCTGGAAAGGCAGTCTCATGGGAAGAGTGTAACCAGCCTCTGGCAGACCCCCTCCAGGTCACAGCTCTCTATTTTTCTCCATTCCTCGTTTTACTTCCTTTGACACTTCAGGATTGGGTCTGCCCCTCGCAGGGTCTGTAGGAGCCCACGTGACCTTGGCAACGCTACAGGCCCCACAGTGCTGCTCCCGCAGCATCTGCCCAACCTGAACGGGCAGCACTGACTTCCTCTCCCTGGGTTGGCCCCATGGGAAACGAGCAGGCCTTGCAGCTTCCTCCCAGCCCTGGGCGCTTGGGTGGCACTTACTTTCCCTGAGGTAACTGAGGTGTGACAACAGCACTTCCGTGTTGTAGAGGGTGGTGGCGCGGAGGAAGTCCTCCTTGTTCATTTTACACAGTTCCTTGCCATCCATGTTCTGGAAAAAGGATGTGTCGATCTCCATCAAGCCGTACTCCTTTATGGCCCATTCCAGCCACTGCCTCACATGCTCCTGTGTCCACAGTGTAGGGTCTGCAGAGGAGAAGATGTTGTTAGCAAGGGCTGCAGGTAGGTAGAGGCTCCCTGAGAGCTTAGGAAGCCTCCCTCACCCCTTGTCCCTCTTTCTCTCCCTTCTCTCTCTCTGGGAAAGCTCCCTTCCAGATGGTCCCCCTGGAACAGCCATCTGGCTCCATGGCATCTGGCGCTGCCTGAACCACTTAGCACTCCAGGGAGGTGCTTAGCTGCCCCGCTACGTAGCCTGACACAGCACTCTTTAAAGTTCTGGAGAGCAGTTGAAACCTTTGCCTGAGAAATGGTGGCATCAAAATGAAAATAAACACAATTTCACAGATCCCGGGACCAATGTCTCTGGAAAGGGGAACCATCTGTATTTCAAGAATATTAATGATTTCATGAAAGAACACGGATCCCTCAGATGGCTACAGAAAAGAAACAGAGAGAGAGGCTTTTACTGCAATTCCATCTGTGCAGTTGAAAACCCAGTGGTGTTAGTCCTGAACAGAAACCCAATCTAGATTTTCCCTTTCGAGCACAGCTATGTTGAAATTTCTACCAGGACATCCCCAAAACAGTTTTTAGATATTTAAATACCCAAAGATGAGAGATGGTATCGGGGAGAACCTTTCAGCTCTTGAGTGAACACAGGTAAGGTAACCACTGAGGCCATCTCTGTGGTAGGACACTCATACCTCCTTCGCCTTCTCAATGTGTGTGTGTGTGTGTGTGTGTGTGTGTGTGTGTGTGTGTGTGTTGGGGATGTTGCACTTTCAGCACAAGTGATGAGTTCCAGCAGGTTCACAGTAGGCAGAACTCTTTTATCACTTATCACAGTCTGAAACCCATCTCTTCACTTGGCAACCAATTGTTAGTAGGTCCAATAAACACCTTAAATATCCTCATCATAGAATAAAACTACATGACGCTTGCCTTCAAGAAATACTCATTCCCATGAAACAGGTAGGCAGGCACACCACTACTAAGCAATGGATTGTGTGGCGGTGGTTTGAGGACTCATAAGCGGAAGGGAATCGTGAACATTTGGAGAGTCATGGAAGACTTCCTGGAGGAGGAGAGACTCGGCATTTTATTGTGAGTCAGCCATCAGCCTCCGGCTTCTAATGAGCCTGTTTAACATATTTATTAGGCAGGAATATCTGTGCTACCCCTCAACCAACTCACCCTCTCATTCTACAGTGTCTGTGAAGGCTCGTGGCAAAGCTGGGAACCAGGATTGAATGACTAGGAGTGGACGTGGGGAAAGAAGCAAGGCTCACACTTCACAGCTGGGAAGCCAGAGGCAGGTTTCCCAGCACTTTTACACAAGCATGTGTCAGCTGCCCTTGGGCTCTCCATCCCACCTTGGCTTTATGGGTGAGAATCTGGGTGGAAGGGCCCGAGTCTGCTTTGCAAAATGCCTAGGCCCTGCCCGTGCATGAGAGTTGTGGCTGTATTGTGCTGGAGGTGGAGGAGCTGGCAAAGGGGAAGAGTTAGGAGAGTTTGGGTTCACAGGTCACAGCCTGCTGCTGAATGTCATTCCAACAACCTAATGCCCCGTGAGCAGTGACGGTTCAGATGGTGGGTGCTATGTGCCACCAGCTCCGTGAGCCCTGTTTGTACTTACCAAGGAAATCTTTTAATATCCCCATTTTACAGATGCATTGTGGAGTCTTAAAAGGTTAAGTCATTTGCCCAAAGCCCCATTGCTGGTAAGTATCTGGGCCGGGGTTCCAAAAGAAACCATCACAGGACTTCACTAAGTTGAAGAGGTGGGTCCCCCCCAAAGCCCCTTTCCTCTTCTCACCATCCTGCTTTACCTCACCTGTGAGTTACACTGCTCTGATGCCAAAAAGCAGAGCTCCTCTAAAGCGTCATTATGCAAGTATGTATTCCTCTCTCTCAGATACATTTCTTGCTCTTTTGCTCTCCAGAAGCAATTAGGCACGGATCATTGGCAAATGGAAATAATTTTGCACCTTTTCAGAATTCTAGAGAAACATATCGTAGGGGGAGCTGGATTATGTAGCATATTATTTCATTCTTCGCTTCTCCCGGTTCCTCACTTTTAGTATCCAAGGCCTCAAGTTCAATTTTACACCATATATTTTATTTATTTTATTATTTCCTCCCTTGCTTTGGGCTCTGCAACAATATTATTTCTCTCCCTCTACAGCACAATGAATTATAAATCTTCAACTCTGGATCATGCTAAACTCTTCCAAATGTTATTTCCTGGATGATTTAGTCCTAGTTTCTTCCCATCTGAACATGGAGCTAGTGATTAACTAGGGCCCACATTTATACTTGTCTTTAAATCCCATCATAAATTCAATCAGTTATTCCACTAATATTTTATTGCCTTGATTTGTGGACTTGCCCAAATGAGACTTCCCCTCATGTCCACAGCCTGGCCTGGAGGAAGCCAAAATGTGTGACGATCTGAAAGATCTAGCTGGAGCTAAAATAATGAAGTAAGTCCATAGCCTGAGAATTCATTACATGACGTGCTTTGAAAATCATTTGACATGAATTTGTGCTATTTTCACCATCACTGCTATAGGTAACTTGGCTCACTGAAGCCTGAGGTTTTGCTATTCCTTTCGAAAGCATTTCAACACTGACTGGAGGTTTGGAGGGTTGACGTAGCAGTCCAGCCACTTCTGCCCGTTTTCCAGATTCCTTCCCAAAAATGACTCCCAAAATGAGATGGTGCCAGAGGTTGGTTCAAAGACAATCTCAGATCCCCACACCCTTCAGTCCCACAAGCCTTCCCTCCCGGGCTGGGAGCTGTTTGGCTGAAGCAGGGGAGTTTGACACCGTTTGAGTGAAGACCCCGTGAGGCTCAGCTTTGCTTTGGGGTGTACAAAGAGATTCCCACCTGTCAGTTGTGGAACGGTTTCCTTGTCTGCTTTCGGTGAGGAGGGAGACGACACACCTGGGCTAAACGTCACTAGCTGGTCTCCTGTGACAGGTGGCTTAAGTAATGCCATGGAGATAAAGCAATTTACACGGTGCCTGGCACCTAGAAAGCACTCAATAAATAGAAGCGATTCTTCCTCTTCCTTTGTTAGGTCAGATGCTTGTGAAAGAGCAAACTTAGAATTGCTTTAGGAGTCGTTTCTAAGTCCTAAAGGATACGGAGAAATTCCTGTAGGCCCCACCCCTCTCCTGCCTCCCTCCTGCTCACACCTTCTTGAATGTGGCCCAGAGCACAGGGAGGCAGCTGTAATCCAGGGATATGGTGAGATGCAACTTCTCAGGAAAAACAAACACCACGGGCCAAGGCAGGAGGCGCCCCTTAAAATTTCTGCCTTTAGACCTACAGGCAGATGCCTTCGGGCTACCTCAAAGACATGTCTAACCTTTTGACTTCAGATGCAACTACATTTACACTTTTCCACATGGCAGGAGTTTTGCCTCTCTGGTAAAGTTATTTTGGTAAGATCAGGTTTAGTCTCTGCCCTGTAATCCACTTTGCTTAAGATTTGGACGTCCTTGCTCCTTCTACCTGGCACCAGTTCTACACGTGGCAGTTTTTAAACACGCTTTTTGTGCAGGCGGCTGAGCGTGCTGGTGCTAGCTGGGGTGGAGTGTCCAGCCAATGGACTGAAGGACTGAACAATGATTTTATTTTCTGGGACCAACAGCACCAATACCTAGGGAAAAAGAAGCTATTTTTACCTAATGATATAACTTGTGGCACACATGTTAAGGCGCTCCATTAGTTAAATATAGTTCTTTCTATTTTAAAACTGAAAGAACTGGCTGTAATTTTGGAAAGGTGGAACCCGGCAGATGCCGGGAAGTACAAGCCTGGAGGGAAGGACAGGCCTCTGCAGCTGCCCTCCTCACAGGCAGGGATGCCCACATCCAGAGCTCACGGGAGTCCTTTTGGGTGGAGGCGGCTTTGCCTCTGCTTTCTGAGCAGCCCATCCTTGAGGACCAGGCCGTTGATGTAGAATTTGTGATGTGGTCTGCTTAAGGGTGGGGCTTCTAGCATCCACACATCAGGTGACATCTGGGATACTGTCTTAGGGGGCAGCTAGGAAGTAAGGTAAAATGTGTGGCCTTTTTTTTTTTTTTTTTTTTTTTGAGACAGAGTCTCACTCCATTACCCAGGCTGGAGTGCAGTGGTGCGATCTTGGCTTCCTGCAACCGCCACCTTCCTGGTTAAAGCTAGTCTCCTGCGTCAGCCTCCTGAGTAGCTGGGATTACAGGCGTCCACTACCATGCCTGGCTAATTTTTGTATTTTTTTTTTTAGTAGAGATGAGGTTTCACCATGTTGGCTAGAACTCCTGACAAGTGATTCACCCGTCTCAGCCTCTCAAAGTGCTGGGATTAGAGGCGTGAGCCACCACTCCCGGCCCGTGTGCAGCTTTCTCCATTTTGCAGTTCCACAGGGAATAGAGTATCAGATAAAGGTTTAGATGCTCCCTGCCCCTAAGAGAGCGGGGAAGTGAATGGCGCCCAGGCAGCCTGCTTCCTGAGTTACCTGCAGGGACGATGACTCTCCTCTCATTGGTGGTCATGTTGGGAGGAGGGGGGCCATTCTTCTCGTCCATATAGCTGTTGTAGTTCATGGGGTTGGACTCGCCTCCACCCACCAGCTTGCTGCATTTGCTCACGCTGCAGTCCACCGGAGACTCCCTACAGTGAGAAGAGACAAAGCCCAGAGGCGGTCAGCACTGACAGGGCAGCTCGCCCCAGCCTCCGAATCATGAGCTCCAGGGCTCCGATGACGACCATGGAGCCGTTGCCCAGCCGCGCTTGGTGCCATGACGATGATGATGCCCTCTTTCTATCCTCCATGCTGCCACCAGAGTTTCCTTCAAATCCCAGCCCAGCCCTATAATTACAGTACGTAAAACCTTCTGGCAGCGCCTTAGTGCCCTCAGACCAAGGTCTGAGCTTCTTTGTGTGGCATCGCAACCCTCCCTGTCTGACTGCAGCTTACATTTTTAGCCTCACTGCCAGGCAACCTAGTCCATGCTCCCAGACACGCCTTCCCCACAGTCCCCCAGCACTTGGTGCCCGCCTTGGTTATAAGGACTTGTCACACTGCCTGATTCTTAGCTTGGCCTGTGCCTCCTGACTGCTGAGTTCTTGAGAGGATGGTCATCACTCTTTGTTTAACCCTAATATTCTTACATAGGAGGTGAGCAGCAAATGCTTTCTCAGTGAGTGATTTCTGTTGTACCTAGAGAAGCTTAATGCATTTCTCATACACTGTTATATTCGAATTTTCCAATAAACCCCCAAGATAGGCACAGCAAGGGTTACTATCTCCTTTTCATGGTTAATGAAATCCAGACAGGGCTTTCTGGCTCAGAGTCACACAGCTAGTCAAGGTGGAAACAGGACTCGGGTGTTCTGTGTTAAGCTTCACTATCAAGCACACATGCAAAAGAGCTGGTTGCTACTTGGAGAAGGAATGGAATCCAGGAACTTCCCCCTGATGGAGAGGTGGTGGCCCTGTGGCATTTTGCAGCCCTGACCCCAAGCTCACCGTGGAGCAGTATGGACATTCACAAGGGAGAAAGCAGATCATCCAACTTAGCCTAGAGCTACAGAACTTGATCAGCACCTGGTATTTTGCAGCACTGGTGATTGGGCAGCTGTCTGGAGGGGTGACGTCCCACCCATGGCCACCTGGTGCCCTAAAGCAGGCTGGCAAACACACTCTGCATGCCCCCCCAGCCCAGCATCACACACCTCCAGCATACTTGGGGGAGGTGCCACCCTGTCACACGCAGTGCCCGCTGCTCAGCCACTCCAGCAGCAGCAGGACCAACGGAGATGATGGGAAGGCCAAGCAGAAGCTGTAACTGCCGTTATACTGAGCGGGAAGCATCGGTTCTGGCAGCCTGGGAGACAGCCAGTTCTCTCAAAAGCTCCAAACCAGGCCTTCAGACCAAGGAGTTCAGATAAGGTTCAGATTACAGCCTTCCAACTCTAGGCCACATAACCTCTCCGGACGTTCCAAAGGCCTGGCCACTGTTCTCCATCCCCTGCCAGGGGCAGGAACGGACCACAGCGAGGCCTTGAGGAGCAGGGCCATGCCAGATAGGGACCCACCCATCCCACAAGCAGGGACGGCAGTCACTAACCCAGAAGAAGGGAGATCAGCCCAGGGCTTCCTGAGACCCAGGCAGGGCGGGGAGGCCTGAGCACATTCAATAAAGAAAATTAAATGAATTTGTTTCTTAATCTGAAAGGAAAAAAATATTGAAGATCACTTATCATAGCTGGGAGATAAATGCTCCACTGAGATATTAGAAGTCAGATGGTAATTTTTTCCTGATGTCTTACAGAGGGGAACATGGGCTGAAAATGAAAATAAGATGTATAACTCACACATGTTAGAATTTAAGGTTTTACTATTCGCCTACTGTTTTTCCAGGCAGAGAACCAAGAACCAGCCGTCAGAGTCGCAGATTGCTGAAGGTTTAACATCCCCATGGCAGTGGAGGGGAGGCAGTAGCACATCAGGGCTTTTCACCAGCGTTTGGCCCTTTGGCTTCGGCTGCAGAAGGACCTGGCCGGAGATGAAGCAGTCCCGGTCAGACCCTGCTGCCTGCATCTGAACCGAGCTCCGGCTGGAGTGCACTGGGTCCCCTCACCCGCCCTGGGGCTAACTGCAGGCACACACTCGCACACATGCATGCCCATGTGCACACACACTCCAACACAGAACATGTGTGCACAAAACTCCACCCACATGCATGCACACACGTCAACAGAGAACACATGTGCACACAGATGCATGCCTCCATGCATGCACACACGTCAACACACATGCACAGATATGCACTGTACACATTCCAACACGGAACACACATACTTCACCCACATGGAAGCACACATTTGAACACAGAGAACGTGCACACACACACGTACACTTCATCCGCACACACACGCATAGCTATTGCACACACACGCATACACATGACACACACATACACACACACTCACACACACGGCCTGGCAGCCTTTCCCTGCATCCTTATCGGCTGTGAAACAGTCCAAGTGCTGCCGAAGTTTGAAGGATTCAGTTGGCCTGCAACCAAGTGAGCAAGGTTTTCACTGGCGGGCGGCCTCTGTGGGAGAGGCGGGCTCCACACTGCATGCTCTTCCCTTGCAGGATGCCCAGAGCAAGAGGGCAGAGGGCCTGGGCAGGGGTCTCTCGGAAAGGAGAACGACAGCAGGGGGCAGGGGATGGTGGGACAGGAGGGCACACTCCATGGGCTCCTCCCCTGTGTGGACGGTGGAGAGACGATTTTTGGAAAAATTCTTTTCCACATCAGCCGGGCCCCTGGGGATTTCTGAGTTAAAAACTGACCTCTTGCTGTGCAGAGAAGTCAGCACCTCAGGACTCACTGAAATGGAGTGAGCCTTTAGGGTTATGGCCATGTACAGTAGGCACAGGTGGCAGGGCTGGTCCCAGGTGCCAGGGATGGAGGAAAATAAATGTGAAAAGCTGAAAGAAATGTTTCCCCAAACCTGCCTAACACATGACCTTGTAAGGAGAGGAGCCACAGACACCTGGACGAAGGGAAAGTGGACTCAGAGGAGGAGGGGGCTCTCTTGCTGGGGTGGCCGTGGCCACTCATTCCCTGAGCAGAACCTCCTCATTCACTGAGCCATAGAAGTTCTCCCAGTTCCGCTTCCCTCCTCCTCTCTCCCTGCCCCCGGCCCTGTGCACACACCTGCTCCCCAGCTGGACAGGTGATCGCTTTGGCCCCTCGCCTGCTAGGGTGTTTCTCCTCTGGAAAAAGGCCCTGTCCTCGGTGCCAGGCTTCTGCACTAGGACCCGTAGGCCGGTGTCCTTAGGGAGAAGGGCTGGCACCATCCTGGTTCCCCACACTTGCCCAGCTGGCCCTCCTCCCACTGCTCAGGGAGAGAAAGAAGGAAAGCCATACCTCGCCCGCTCGCCTGCCAGACCTCCCTCCATTCTTGCAGCTCCCAAGCACCGTGCCTCCTCCAGCCAGCGCAAGCCCTGCGTGCGGCCATGGGGCTCCACGGCTGCCACTCAGGGTGGGTACAGGTGAAGCCCAGCATAAAAGGCTGCTCTTTAATGAGGCAGCTGGTGCCTGTGAAGAGGGCTTGATGAAAACAAGCGGGAGGGGGAGCGCGGGACGAGGTTTTGCCATTCAGCCTGCCTGCACTGCTGCTAATTTGTATTAAGACCTGCACTTACAGCTAGCATGGGGCTGGGGCCCACTGGCAGCTGATAGCACTGGGACAGGTGACAAGAGAGCCTGGGGCTGCCACAATAGATCAGGGAGGTGGCGGTGGCCCCAAGGGTGTAATAACGAAGCACATCTCCTCCATCTCAGGGCAACAGAGGCCACAGCAAAGCTGCCGAGGGCAGGGTAGCCCTTGTCCTTCATTTCCACTGCTGGTCATAGCTCTTTACTCTTCGAGTTCTGCGTGTGTGTGTTCTGTGAACATTGCTACTGGTTTCCAAAAAACCTTTGCAATCTGTTAGACAATTTAAAACAAGGTGTGAAATCTTGGGTGTTTGGATGAAGGGAGATTTCAAAGACTTCTCCCGAAGATTACCTCTTTAGACTATCAAAAGATCTTCTCTACCTTCCTAGTCTACTCAGAGCAACTGAACTTGGGCATATCGTCAGACCCGCAAATCTGAGCCCAGGCTCACTGTCAAAGGACACCTGATGTTCACACGGCCAAAGTGAGGCCTCGAGGGCTACCTAAGTCACATGGTTGCATTAGGACCCGTGGCATGTGATTCCTGCGTAGTATGCACCCTGCGCAAAAATTAAACAATCTGTATTGCCTTTAGGATATCTGCAAGACGTACATGTGACTCTTTTGTTTTTGAAAAGGAGATGCAATAACTTAAAAGCAAATTCCAAGAAAAGAAAAAGCATCACCCATGATAAAGCCATCGCCCTAATCTACTAGCTGTTTTCATCTCCATACACAGTAGATGCTGCTAACTTTTCCAGGATCCTGTGTATGCCTCCCCACCCAGGTTACGTGTGACATGTCTCATACTGCAAAGTTCAGAGCACTGGAGTTTAGAAAGGGGCCTCACAGCCAGAGAGGCACAAGTTCCATGGAACAGGAGCTGATGCTTCTCTGTGTGGAATGTGAGTCTCTAGGTGTCCAGGGCATCCAGACCCTGGGGGCCAGGTCAGGGAGTGTCAAGGCAGGTGAGCGCTGAACTCTGGTCCTGAACACCAGGCTCACAAGGCAAGTCTTGCATTTCCCTCTATAAACTGATATTCTTTTCTTCACGGGATGTTTTCCCCAATCCCTGTGGTTGAGACAGGATGCAGCTGAGAGTTATTTGCAGACCACAGCTTGGATCAAGTTGCTGAAGTCTACATGTGAAAAAGAACCTATGGGCCATACTGTTTCAAGGCAGCCCAGCCTAACAGAGTCAACCACAACAGGAAGATATGAAGAAAGAGGCACAAAACTCCCTCAACACGGGAAAGCCACCTGCCTCTGAGATCCTCAGACCTCAGTCTCTGCACTTGACTCTTTGCCCCGGGCCAGAGGGTTTGTTATTGGGGTGAAAAGCAAGTGGGCATGGTAGCTTCAGGCGCACTGCACACCTCCTTCCCGCCAGAGACACAAATGCCAATGGGTCTCCGGTGAGCATGAAGATGTAACTCAGAAGCCCATGCTGTCAAGGAACACAGAAAAAAATGCGCTGTGAATCACAGAACAGTCCAGAACACTGTGGCCCAGCACTGTCCAATAGAAGTAGAATGGGAACCACATGCGCGAGATACATACTTTTTTTTTTTTTAATATGAGATGGTGTTTCGCTCTTGTTGCCCAGGCTGGAGTCCAGTGGCACAATCTCGGCTCACTACAACCTCCGTCTCCTGGGTTCAAGCAATTCTCCTGCCTCAGCCTCCCGAGTAGCTGGGATTGCAGGCGTGCCTAGCTAATTTTGTATTTTTGGTAGAGACAGGGTTTCACCATGTTGGCCGGGCTGGTCTTGAACTCCCGACCTCAGGTGATCCTCCCGCCTCGGCCTTCCAAAGTGCTGGGATTACAGGTATGAGCCACCACGCCCGGCCGAGCTACATAATTTTAAATTTATTAGTAGCCAGATTTTTAAAAGAAAACAAAACGATGAAATGAATTTTAATAATATATTAAAGTATATTAAGATGTTAACTCAATATAGCCAAAAGATGATCATTTCAGCATAATCAATAATCAATGGGATACTTTACACTTTTTCCATAGTAAGTCTTCTAAATCTAGTACGCAGTTTATATTTAGAGCACATCTCAATTTTCAACTAACCGTATTTCAAGCGCTCAGTAGCAACCTGTGGCTAGTGGCTGCTGCATTGAACAGCACAGGTCTAGCCCGTGAGCCAGGCGATCTCAAATTGTACGCCCTACCTTGGTTTTCTCATCTGAAGTTCAGAATCATTACAACATCCTCTCCTATCTTTTTGTGTTATGGCAAATTAGACCACTGCAAACAACCAAATCATATGTAAGTAACAAACTGTCATTATCAGCAATACTCAGAGGATATGAGACGCACGGTGTTCAGGATGAGAGATTTAAAGAGCCTGGCATTTATTTCATTCTGTCATTGCTTTTTGCATAATTAAATGACAGGGTCTGACATGGTTCCACTGTAAGCAATGACATTTTTCTAAAACTCCTTGCTTCCTGCTAGCCACTAGTCCAGCTTACACGTGAGCCCTTAGGGAATATTTGTGGGGTGCTGGCGATGGCCGTGCCTAAGCTGCTTGGCTCTGAGAGCCCACAGGATTGTCTCTGCTTGCCTAGGGTGGGTGAGAAGACATCAGTCTTTCCGAACCTACTTTGTTACCTGCTGATGGTCTGGGTCAAGACAAGCAACTCAAAAGCAGAGGCTGCTGCTCTGTGTAGCCAAAGCCAGGGAAATATCCTGTCTGTTCACTGGAATATTCACACAGGCCCTCTCCAGCTGGCTTTTGGTGTGACTGGAGCCAGGTATGAGCTGGCAAGTGGGTTCCGAAAATCAGTTTCCTTGGGCCCTCTTGGCCCAGGATCAGTATCCTGGAGTGCTTGAGGATTCCCTGGGAGCAGGGGACGGAGTGGTGAGCAGCATACTTCCTTCCCACCAGAGACACAAATACCCATGGGTCTCCAATGAGCATGAAGACGGAACTCAGAAGCCATGCATCCATGCGGGCTCAGCATTGCAGGGGCTGAGTCAGCAGACCTGGGTCTGTGTCTTAACCTTAAACAAGCACCTTCTCTTTTGAGTCTGCTCAGCCATGTGTTCATTCAGTTATTTATCTGACGACAATTTATTGAGCACCTACCGTTTCAGGCCCTGCTCACATGTCGGGGGGGAGGTGATAAGAACTAGGACACTCTAAGCAGAGTAAAGAGTGAGGAGGCACTGGTTTCAATCAGGTGGCCAGGGGAGGCCTCTGAAAAGGTGAGGTTCAGGTAGAGAAACCCAAAACTCGTGAGGGAGAGAGTCATATGACTAGATGGAGTAGGAATGTTCCAGAAGGAAGGAGTTCAGGGGAAGAGATTCTGAGGCAGGAGGGTGCCTGGGGGTCTAGGAGCAGCAGCTAGAGTCTCCTGAGGCTGGCGTGGAGGGAGGAAGTGGGATGGAGGGGGCAGTAGAGAGGATGTCGGAGGGATGGTGGCGCCATGCTAAGGGCTTTGCATTTCGTCACAAGCCATTAAAGAGTTTTGAGCAACAGGGTTACAAATGAGGAAAGCATGGTTCTGGCTGCTTGCTGTCCGGAGAACAGACTTCAGGAAGGCAGGAGGAAGTGGGGAGAGCAGGATGCCCCTGCAGAAGCCTAGGAGAGGTGCTGCTGGCTTGCACCAGGCAGGGGCGGTGGAGGTAAGGAGTGGGCGGATTCAGGTTACAACAGGCCAGAGAATCTCCAACAAAGCCGGGCGCGGTGGCTCATGCCTGCAATCCCAGCACTTTGGGAGGCTGAGGCGGGCGGATCATGAGGTCAGGAGTTCAAGACCAGCCGGGCCAACATAGTAAAACCCCGTCTCTACTGAAAATACAAAAATTAGCCAGGTGTGGTGCCACGTGTCTGTAATCCCAGATATTCAGGAGGCTGAGGCAGGAAAATTGCTTAAACCTGGGAGGCGGAGGTTGTAGTGAGCCAAGACTGAGCCATTGCACTCCAGCCTGGGCAACAGTGTGAGACTCCATCTCAAAAAAAAAAAAAAAAATCTCCAACAGTGGGACCTGGATCTTCAACAAGCATTGGGAGCCCCTTGTGGAAGGGCCCCATTTAGGAGGCGTCGTAGAATAGGCCTCCCCACCGGGTGGCCATTGGCAGGAATGAGGCGGTGGTGCAAAAGCATGACACACGAGCAGAGGGAGCAGAAAGGTGCCTAGCGGATGGCACGTGGGGCTGGAACCACATGCCTGGGTTCGGGCTCCAGCTTTGCCTCCTCTAAATCCTTAGACAAAGCAATCTCCCCTGAAAGCCCCACTTGCCTTCCTGTGTAACAATGAAGTTACGGTAACTACTTCGTAGGACAGTTGTGGGGAACAAGTGGTAAGATAATATGGGAAAATGTTCAACACACCATGTCCTTCGACTGTTAGGAACTCCAGCACCATCAGAATTACCTCTGGAGGGAGACTCATCTGAGGGGCTATGGGCTCAGAACCTCTGAGCCTTCCTGAAATCCCAGGATCTGGAAAGGTGGCTGAGATCCCAGTCGCTGGTTTTGGTTAGTGGGGTTGAAATGTGGTAGGGCTGGGAGTTCCCACAGGCAGGTCTGAGGCCACGGGCTGCTCTGGAGTTCTCCCTCCCAACCACGCTCATTCCCTTCTCTCTCTTCAATCCAGACTGGTTTCCTCAGTGACCTCATCCACTTTCACAGTTCAAACTCCTTAGAGATGATGCCCAAACCTAAATTCCAGGCCTGAAAGATTATCTGAGCTTCAGTTCCCAAAGTCTAGTAGACGTTTTTATCTGGATGTTCTACCGATTGCTCACAAGGAATCTCAAAGAGAATATTGACATCCCATCCTAAAGCATTTCCTGTGCCACCTTTCTGCAGCTGCTCACAGCACCAGACTTTAAAATGTGCAGGCTTTAGTGGCCTTTGGTTCTTTCCTGTCATGTACCCCCTTCATTCACACTTTATTCACCTAAGCCCTGTTAATCATCTCTTTGCTATCTCCCTTATGTATCTATCCTGTTCAATTTCCATAATCACTACCATCACTTAGTTCAGAACTTCATTATTTCCTATCTGGGGTATTTTACTAACTTCTTCACTTGTCTTTCTGACTCTCCCATCCTACCCTTTGTGCAGAAAGATTGTCAGTTCGCTAGTCTCAAGTCACTGCTCTGATGGGGTTAAATGTCACATCTGTGCTCAAAGTCAGCCTCTGGCTGTGGAATCAACGGCACATGTTTTCAGCCTGCCATTCAGGGCCCTCTCTTACTCTTTATTTTCATCTCTTTGTGCCTTTGGCCCAGTAGATTACCTGGTATTTTGTGAATGAGACTGATGTTCTCTGTCTTTCAAGTCTTTGCTCATAACAATCACTGTCACTACAGAGCACGTGCCTAACGCGTCTCAGGCACCATCCCGGGTCCTTTCCCTGCGGCATCAGAGTAACGCTAGAGTAAGGAGCCATGAGGAAGTGAATATCCCAGTCCTGCCTGAGAAAGGAGAAAGCTGGGGCTCTGAGGGGTTTCGATAACTTGCCCAAGGGGGAGAGGCAGGATGTGAAACTGAGGCTGCCTGTCCACTGTCCTCTTCCATGACCCTGTGATTTTCTCTCCTTGGACCCTCCTGTCTCCATTTCTACAGGCAAAGCCTGAACTGACCCAGTACTGTACCTCCTTCATGCACACTTTCCAGGTGCCTGCCCACTCCCAGACACAGTGAGCCCCCACAGGCGTCTACCTTCCTCATCCCTTCTCCACTTTTACTAAAGAATGGTTTGGTCACCTTTGCTCTGCTGAGACCCACCCAGAGGGGTTAAGTATCTTCAACGGGACAGGGAAGAATAGCTTACCACTAAGCTGTCCCCAAGAGGACTGGACCCGGGCCTGGGATTAACAAGAAATAAGTGTTCCATGAGCGTCTGCACAGGCGCTTGGGGCCTGACTCTTACCTGGCCTCTGAGGGCTGCATGGGCCCCAGAGAGCCGGGGGGCTTCCTGGCCCTACTCCATCCCATCTTCAGTGTGTGGCCCTCTCTGCCTTAGCTCTCTAGAGACTGACACATGCTTCCTGGCCCAGCTCCAGAGCTCCATCTGCTGCAAAAACCTTAAGTGCCCGAAGCCACTTACTGCAGATCTGGTGACTTGGTGCTTTCCTCCAGTCCTGCATAGGCCTGGCGAGCTTACCTGGATCCATTCATGTGGTCATACTCCCGCTTGACGTTGACCCTCACTGGCTGATTGATCCACTCCTGCTGCGGTGGGAGGGGGTTGATCTTGTGGGGCTGCCCGTAGTCAGGACTCCCCGAGGCAGTCATGTCGGCCTTGGGGAGATGGGCCGCTGCTCCGTATGCTGAGTCAAAGAGGGACTGGTCGTCGCTCACCACCGACAGAGCCTCCTGCAGGGCCAGAGAAGAGACAGAAAGCCCAGTGTCACTCTTCACCCAAGCAAGTGGCACTCTTGCTTTGAGCTGGCAAGGTGGCCCAGGGCTGCCACAGGACAGCTTGTCTGGAAGTTCCTGTTTGACTCACACTCCAGGGGGCAGATTTGCCCTTATGCAAACCAGATGGGTGTTTGCAGGTTACCTGGGTGAGGACAGACTTTGGGCAGTGGAGTGGGGATGGAGGATTCATGAAAGTGGGTTCATTTATTGGTTCTGTAGTCTGGGACCCCCAAAAAGGACGGTGGAGATAGGGAGGCCAAGAATAGTGGTGACTTGGCATGGAATGTAGTATTGTGGTGGTGTATGAATGCTAGATTCTTCCAGGCATAAGCAGAAATGCCTCTTATGAGCTGAGTGGAGTCATCAGCAGTGAGGGGAGAGAGGAGATCCAGCATTTATTTTCTAGGCAAGGCCAGTGAGATCCACCCAGAGAGGCTAGGTGTGCTGCTCAAGGTCACACAAGGGAAGGGTGGGGCCCATGGCTGTGGCCAGGCCAATTTCAGTTTCCTTATTTGTAACAGGGATAAAAATAGCTTTAGCACAGAGTCGATAGGTGGATTAAGTGAGAAGATCTGGTCTGGGGGTGTAGCTTGTAAGAAATGCTCAGCAGTTTGCTGAGGGCCCTCCAGGAGGTGCTGGTACATCCTATAGATCTCAATGTTGGTGACTCAGCCAACCAAAGGACGAAAGAGGAATCTCAGACACGCGAAGTGCCAGTCAGGGCAAGACTGTCCGAAAGAGGCTGTTGGGTCCTCCCACTCATATTATTCCATCACTGACTTGGGTGTGACTCTGGGAGATCATGGATTAAGAAAAGAAGTCTTGGCCAGGCATAGTGGCTCATGCCTGTAATCCCAGCATTTTGGGAGGCTGAGGTGGGAGAATCGATTGAGTCCAGGAGTTCTAGACTAGCCTGGGAAATGTGCCGAAACTCTGTTTCTACCAAAAAAAAAAAAAAAAAAAGAAAGAAAAGAAAAAGAAAAAAGAAAGAAAGAAAGAAAGACAGACAGACAGAAAGAAAAAATTAGCTAGATGTGGTGGCATGTACCCAGCTACTTGGGAGGCTGAGGTGGGAGGATCACTTGAGCCCCAGAAGTAGAGGCTGCAGTGAGCCATGATCGTGCCATTGCATTCAGCCTGGGCAACAGTCTCAAAACAACAACAACAACAACAACAACAACAAAAAACCTTGCACATTCCGGAGTTCTGCTACCAATCAAAACATGAGGATAAGAGCCTTCCATTATTCCATGTCACATCGAATCACAGGCATCCAAGGTCAGGGACCAGGGCATAGTGTTCACTACAGCCATATAATTACACCAAAGTAAGTCTTCAGAGAAAATAGTAGTCATCTATAATTGATATATAATCTCTATAATCAATAATTATATAATCTATAATTGTGAATAATAGATGTGATAATACATGCAAAGTACTTAGAACAGTCTCTGGCACAGAGTAAGTCATACTCAGAACATGTTAGGTATCATGATTATCAACATTCAAACAAAGATTCTCTTAGGCAACCTGTTAGGGGCTGCCTTGTGACCTCACAAAATTCATGTGCTGAAGCCCTTACCCGCAGTTCTCAGAATGTGAGTGTATTTAGAGATAGGACCTTTAAGGGGGTGAGGTGAAATGAGGCTGATAGGGTGGGCTCAAATCCAATACGACTGGTGTTCTTAGAAGGAGAGGGAATTTGGACACGCAGAGAGCCCCCAGGGAAGTGTGTGCACAGAGGGGCTGCCACGTGAGGACACAGCAGTCATCGGCAAGCCAAGGAGAGAGGTCTCTGAGAAAAACCAATCCTGCTGGCACCCTGATCTTGGACTTCCAGCCTCCAGAACTCTGAGCAAATAAATTTCTTTTGCTTAAGCCGCTGGTATGTGTCATGGAAACCCTAGCAAATGGATACACCATCTTTACTTGAAAATGTAGTGATAGGTGAACAGCACTTGTTAAAGCTGGCATTTGTGTACTTTCCTTGTGTAATCCACATTCCTGAATTGAATGTCTTCTTCAGAATGAATGCTCTTCATATGCCTGTGGAATTACAACCTGCTCCGTGGGCTTTCTCTTCTCTCCCAGGGCCATTCTCCACCCCAGCAGACTCACAGCCATAATTCAAAAGAGGAGGCTCTTTTATGGCTGTTTTCAGCTGGGATCAGGGAAAAAAATCCTGGAATATGTTCTATGAGTCCTGCTTTTGCACCAGACGGCTTTGGAGTGTAGGTGCATCCAGAGGTGCAGTCAAAGCAGAGCTGCCCACACAATATTAGAACACTTACATCCTCCAACCGAGGTGATCTCCCTAGACCTAATATCTGCTGAGACGCTTCTTCGTTTTCTACCAGATGCCCTTGAGTCATGCTCAGAGTAAAGCTGTGCTTGTCGGAACCATTTGTTTCTTGGTTATCATATCCACTCTTGATTTCAGCTAGAGATCAGCTTTGGCTTCGTATCCTAAATTTTGGACTGTTACCTGGGCATAAGGAATTATGGTTCCGAGCTGAAAAGGGTGACATTGCAACCTTTCAGACAGCTGGCCCTGACTCCATGAAATTCCTTGAGTTCCACCCTGGAAGCAGAGGACACATTACCACCTATGACCCCTAAGTGTCTTTTGGTGATAAGGGTGAAGAGCATGCACCACAGTCCTGCTACAAAAAGAGATGACATTTCAGGAATCAGGTAGCATCTTCTGCTGTAGAGAATGGCTTACATTCTTAGTTTATCATTCATGAACCTTGGGGTTTCCAGTAAAATAATTTCTTTCCCTTCCCTCTTCTAGGTTGGGGAAGAAGATGATGGGCTATCAGAGGCAAATAAGCCCGGGAGGCAGGACTGGGCACAGTGACGCTCCAATAGACGGGCAAAAAGTTCCTCTCATCATTAGCCAAAGAGGGTGGGCCAGGCAACAGTGAACACAGGGTGGTCCTGTCCAAGGGGACATGCAGACGGCAAAATCCAGATATACAGCAAAGAGAGTACACAGGGAACACAAAGCCGGGTTCTGGAGGCAGACCTAGGGGAGACTTATTAAGGAAGTGAGTGGTACACAGCTAGAAAAAACAAGTGATGAGATAGAGTGTAGGTGTAGAAAGGGCACAAAACCTGTTTGAACTCATTTTGGAATAAAAGTTTCCTTAAGAATGTGGTTCACAATCAAGGAAACTCCAATCAAGTGGCAACGTTGTAGGAGGAGAGCGTCCTGGTTCACCGCGAATGCCTCACACTACTGTCCAGTCTGGGCATTTCTCTCTGAGATTCTTCCCTCCCTGATGGCCCATTGACATGCTCTTCCCTTGTTCAGTACACCTCGCGCACTCCTTGGCTGGATCCAGCTCCCTTGCAAGTTGTGAATACCGTTGTCATCCTGCCACAATCTGCTTAAAACCCTCAGAGAGCTCCCTACAGATAGACCACAGCAAATCTCTTATCAGCCACTTGTCTTCCAAAGGTCATCTTTGTCCCACCTGCCACCCTTACATTGCACAACTTCCTCTTGCTGCAACTTCTGTCCAAGTCTAACTATTCTCACTGCTCCACTAGACAAGCCCTACTCAGGTATGCTTCTGTGTCTTAATTTTGTGGTTCCTTTTGCTGCAAGTAACCTTTCTTTAGCCTTTCACCCTGATGCACAATTATCTGTGCCATTGTGTAAGGTAAGTGAGATCTTCCTGAGAGCTTCCTGTTTCCATGAAACCTTTCTGGTGATGACCTCTGACTCCTCTGAGCTGTTAACAGCTCGTGAGAATACCGCTTTGGTTATGCATGCATGCACACACACACACACAGACACACACATCCCCCTTCTATTTGCAATCATTGCTAGACCAAAAACTTTTTTCCATTACAATGTGGAGAAAAGAAGTGATAGATCATGGGGGCTGTGAAGAGAGAGAAGATGAAGGAGAAGGGTTCCCTGTCTGTCTCATTGGGCTGAATTTGAAAAGCTAATATGGGCAAGGGAAGGGAGGTGAGGGCCACTAAGCGGAATAAAAGATTTGGGGAGATAAGGCCCCAAACAAGCTGATATGAGACCCAAGTGAAAAAGCAGAGTTGGGGAGGAGAACATTCTTGCTGCTTCTGCAAATAAATGGCACCCCCTTTTGCAGTTCAATAGCTTTAGGAGCACCCCAAGATCATGCCCTTGCCAAGTACACTGTCATTTTTATGATGTCACTGGCAGTAGGGAGCCTTCTCCAAACTGCTTTAGGAAGACCAGAGTAGGGACGGAGAAGGCAAACAAGAGTAATGAGTCTGGGCAACTTGATGTGGGTGCTGCTGTCTGCAGGCGAGGAGCTGCTGAGTTGGAGAAATTTCACTTCTTTGCAGCTTGTTATACATGAGGAGCTGTTGCTATTTCATGTGTGTCTTATAAAGCTCTTTACTTAAACTCTTAAAACTTTTTAAACTTAAAACTCTTCCTTATACTTAAAGCTTACAAGGAAATGAGCATGTTGCTAGCGTTCAAGAACTTTCCACCGATAAATCATCAATAAGTATTTAACTGAGCTGATAGGCTGGATGTAGAAAGAACACCAGCATGCAAATTCACCAGCCATCCTCAGAGGGACTACATTCCTTCCGTTTCTAATGACTTTGCTTCTCCTATTGTTGCTGATGATTTTATTCAAGGGAAGAGAAGTTAGTTATTATTTAAAAGACTTGTGGGCTCCATGGGGCTTTAGACCATGCCATGTAAAATTGACTTCCAAGTGAGAACGACAGGAGGCGTGGGCTCCTAGCCCTGTGTGGGGCTCCGTTCTGGGGTTCCTTCTTGACCCAACAATTGTCACCATAAGAGGAACCCCCAGGCTGGCTTAGTCATTGGCTTCTGAGAAGCACTTTCCTTTGCAGAATGCTGGAAAGGCTAGGTCTGTGGGTCCGGAGGCTCTGACCTCTCAGCCACTGAATCCTAGATCCAGAGGGTAGCACAGGGTCCCTTG